AGCTTGCAGCGAAGCTAATATTCAATCATTTCAATGTCAAGAGTAAACTTTAGCAAGTTTGGCGTTGAACAGACTTCTAAATTGAATTTGACTTTCAGCAGCGTCATTGTCAATTGACTCGAGAATGGAGAGAATAGAGTTGTGGTGAAGTGGATAGAATTATTAAAAAGCACACACACATTAAATAAACAATCGATCGAGGATTACTAGGATTGTTTGCCAATTATTAAAAACAATTATTATTATCTCAGACTTCGAACAACGCAATATTCTCAACAAGTATTTCAAATGTAGTAATTCATATAAAAATAGTATTTTAACACGCCAAATAGCCAGCCAGAGGCTGACCGGCTAGGCTGCAATGACATCATATCCATCAACGGAATCTGTTTATTTATATATCTGGCATGGCTCTGCTGTGCATACAAAACGCAAATGGAAAATACACAAAACTAAAATAAAAATCAAACAAATAATGGACAAATAAAATGAGTCGGAGACACGTTTGCCAAAAAAAAAAAAAAAGAAGCCATAAAGGCAAGATTGCCCAGAGAAAAAAAAAACTTACAAAAACGATCAGCTCATGAAAATTGAACTTTTTTTGGAGGATGTCAAGTTTTACATAAGGAAAATCCAGCAGCCCAAATATGCTGTTTGACCCAGATTTTCTCGTTTTGTAGCATTTGGAAACGTTGTGGCCCCTGTGAAGTACTTTCCTCCAAATCACTTAAAACAACTTGAATTTCCATTTATGATGACAGTTCTGACAAACACAATGATAATATTTACTTTCCATTAGGAGAGTATTGAAAGGAAAAACAGCTGTTTTTGGCATACAAAAGATATAATATATATTTTTAATTTGAAATGCAACACTTTTTCTAGGGTATTCCCCCATAATTTTTTCTTTTGCAACAAAGGAAATGGTCTTCATATGTTTTCCCCATCTTTTGTGATTTCAACACAATCCCATTGAAATGGAACTGATTTTGTGCAGCAAACATATGTATGAATGTAGACACGCGTGACTGAATTTGAAATGGGTTGTGGAAGGAGGAGAGGGAAAATGCTGGAAGCGATCGTAGAACTAATCTACAAATGATGCAATGCTTTTTTTTTCTTAAATAATTCAAGCGTGATTCACTCATCATCAATGAACAAGTTTTCGAATGACTATCAGCCACAGTTTGTAATTCTGAATAATTACACAAGGTTACAAGGTATTGAAATGGAATGTAAATTCAAAATTAACACATTTTTAAGATTGACACAATAAGGAATTTTTTATAAGAAATTTTGAAAAGTAAAATTCTGAGCATTATCTGATAAAACATCATTAACATTTTGAGATCAAAGAAAATAGATAATAATAATAATAAAGTAAGCAAATTATTTGTTATTAAAATATTGGACAGGAACATTTGGACGGCATACAAAAGCATTTTGCTGAGAATTTTCCCGAAAAAAAATATTCGTGATGGAATTCAAGCGTGATAGTGTGATTTTTTTATATTTGGCTGGAAAACCACAAGTGGCTATCGTTAGAGCACTCCAGCATTTAAATGTTAATAAATTTTTTTGTGTCTCGTACCATCGCTCGTTACCGCGAGGTCAAGGAAGTGGACGGAAGAAAACAGCAACATCAGCAGAAATGGTTCGAAAATTAAAAGAGCGACTTGATCGAAACCCACGCTGCAATGGCCGATAATGGCTTATGAGCTGAACATTCGGAAAATATTCCATTCGGCAAATATTGAAAAACGAGCTCGGGGTTAAGCCATTGAAATTCCAAAAATGCAAGAAGTTACACCGCATCAGAAAGAAAAATAGACTCAAAAGAGTTGCTTCACTTCTCCAAAAGTGATGAACTGCCGAATTTGGTTTTCTCCGATGAGAAAACATTCGTTGTCCAGCAGTTTGTAAACAAACAAAATGATCGTGTTTACTTGCCAAAGAGGTCAGCTGAAAATGTGCACCTTCGGTTGGCCACCAAAACTCAAGTGCCGGCCATGGAGATGGTGTGGGTCGCCATAACAGCCGATGGTCGCTCTCCGCTCGTATTAATCGACCGTGGCATTAAAATAAATGCCGAATATTAACGCCTTGGGCACGCAAACCTTTTGGCTACAGATTTTGGACATTCCAACAGGACTCAACACCATCGCACTCAGCACGCCCCACCCAAGAATGCTTACATTCATTTCCAGCGCACAATGGATACCAATCCGTTGGACTATTGCGCTTCGCCGGGAATGGGCCAAAATACCCTAGAGCAACATTCGGGCAGCGTATGACGGTTTCATTGGCCGTTTGAAGGCCATAATTCGTGCCAAAGGAGAGCAATTCCAACATATTCCAAAATTTGATGCTATTTCCCACATCTTTTGCTTTCATTCAATAAATTTTAAGAAAAAATTTAAAAATAATGGCGTTTGACTTTGTTGCAGTGTTTTTATCTTACCCTGTCATATGAAGAAACGAAAGGACTCGAAATTCACCTGCCTTTGGTAGTGGCCGGCCACAAAGGGTCAACATTTCATACAACTCTGAATCTCCCATCAGACAAAGACGTCTTCAAGTTGGTCCGAACAAAAGCTACTTAGTTAAACTATTGCAGTCGGGGTTATGTTAGGTGTTTATGTCTTAAAGTGGAGTTGGGGGATGAATATTGTGATTTTTTAGCCATTTCAGAATAACTTCGTTTATAGGCATAGACTTCTTCGCTTCTATAAGAAGAGTTGTGTCTACGTAGTTCGATACAAAGAATTGGTTCCTTATCAAGTTCCGTGGAATCGGGACGTTTGTATAAAAACTCTGCGTATGAGTGATATGAAATATATGAAATCACTTATACGTTTGGGAACTGGTCACTGACCTATGAACTAAATTAACCCAACTCTATGTATAAAAAATCAACTTCGACAAATGTAAATCGAAGTTGGAGAAATATTGAAATCTTTCATTGAAATGGTTAAAGGCGTATTAATCACTAATCGTTTCCACTAATCAATTTCTACTCTCAAAACGAACAATTGTGGCCATGAAGATGCATCGAAGTGGAAGCACTCTTACTTGGGAGTGGTCATCACATTGCACTGGTTACCATGCCCACTTGCCATGGCTAAAATGAGGTTCAACCATTAACTAATTCTGCAAATTCGTCTCTACATTTGAATAGTTTATAACGCAGTTGGGGGACTGCCATTCACTTGTTCTTGTTCTCTTCATTTGACTGCTTAAGTATGTTTAAGAAAACTGTTTCCACTATCTTTACAATTAATGTAATTATTTTATTATGTTAAAAGTTAAGCACATGAAATAGTCGACGATCACTGATCCGTTGCTTTCTTGGTCTAGAATAAATGCTTTTGCCTTTTTTTGTGAGCGCACAGAGAATGGTGTATAAAGAAGATAAACACATTATTACAACGGTAATAATCTTAACGACCGACAATAAAAGTGGTTTCGTATGAATAAAAATGAATGATATCTTTGAGAGAAAAAGAAAGAAAAAAATTAACCCGAAAAGGGTTTTTAACTTGGTGGTTATCGAATTAAACTGCGGTAATTAATAAGGCAGAATTGTTCGAAATGCCACAAAAAAGGCGAAAAAAATTGTAATACCGATACATAAGTAGGACCAAAAATCGGAATATTGGCATTTTCTAAAATTTTTAAAATTGTAGGAGAAAATAAGCTTTACGACCAGTTTCTGTACGACAATACGAATGTGAATACGAAAGATAAACACCATTCCTAATAAGTTTTTTTATATTGAAATACAAAATTTGCTAAAAACACATTTGGATTGGTGTTTTACGTTCGCAAATAATAATTAGACCTAAAAGCATCAAATACTGTCAACCTTCTCTAAGAAGGCCCTTTTATAATAAATCTGATCTGTACGGCCTTATTATGCCTAGGCGCGCTTAGTAGTACAAATGCTGTTGCTACTACCACGAAACGGTAAAACACATTTCGTGTTGAAAAGCCAACCTTGTCGTTGAAAAGCATACGACGCGCCTTGTTGCTTTGCCACATTTGTTTCCAACAACAATTTCGAGTGGGAAAATGCAATTAAAAATAAAAACAGAATATTAAATGTAACGAAAAACCCCAAAGAAAAATTAACGGCAGTGACGACGATGAGTGCTGAGTTTTCAGCGTAAAACAAAAATACAAAACCTAAAGACGAAAAGTCAGGCGGACGGAGGGGCGCACAGGCACACAAACAAACCAAGAAATGCGACATATGAAAAATAAAACGTTTGTAAATGGCTACAAAACCACATGGGCTCGAATTACAAAATCTGGTCCAGGAAAAATAATTACAGAAAAAAAAACACAATTATCCGGAAATATCAGAAAATGTGTGGTCGTCTGAGGTAGTCAGTCATTCGGCCCAATGGCTGAGAACAATAGAGCACTTCGTCTAGCCAAACTAAAAGCATATGCATGTAACTTTAATTGTAATTCAAGTATTTGAATTTATATTTTTAATTAGACCATTGCGGTGGTCAGTTGTAGTGGCATTTAGTGATCAGCTAGCCAGCCAAGCCATCTGGCCAGTGCTGTTCACTCAACCTGTTGATGGCACTGTCCGGCCACCATATTTACACGATGGGACAATGTACTTTACATGGGATTTGTTGTTGTTAAACTCTAACGGAACTTCATTCTATGGCGCAATTGGCAAATATCAATTTCCGGCATACGAAAATAATCATTGAAAAAAAAGACCCAAGGCATGTAAAAAAACTATGTAGAATTGATTTGCTGGGCATGGCATTTTCATGCCCACTAAATGTTTTGTTATTTCACAAAGATGTATATTAAAAAAAAAAAAAAAAAAAAAAAAGAGACGCCCAAAAGTTCAACCAGCCATAGAGAACTGGGCATTTTGTAAAACCATTGTCATAGACCTGATGTTGTTGTTAACCATTCAAATGACATTTCCATCACATCGATCAAATAAAGCAAAGTAATGTTGTTGTACTCACTCTTGTTGCTGCTTCACTAAGTTATCCAATTTGGCCTGTAGGGCCTCCGCCGAGGGTTTGTGTACTTCCCCAAGGAATGTGACGATTGATTTTGAGAGCGCCTCAATATCTTTATGTGATGATTTAAGTTCTTCCGATTCGCTGAGTATTTCCTGTTTCAAAAGAAAAACGATAACAACAAAAACAAAAAAAAAAATTAGAAAAAATATCAAAGAAATCGTCCAACGAAATCGACATTAATTAGAAATGTTATCACAGCAAATTGATAAAGCAGCAGGCATCAAACAATGCCCTCAAGCAACCACAATAAATATCTTTTGGGGTTTGGTTCGCTTCAAAGGGATTGTTGTACGAGCCATTTTAAACAAGTTGACGCATTTTTGGTTGGTTTGTTGTTGTTTATTTACTCTTCTATTTCATTGGTATAAATAAACCAGTTGTGGCCGATATTGTTTTTTTTTTTATTAAACTTAAGAACCACAAATTAGATATGCATATTAATTTCTGAACACCAGGCTTCAGGCTAATTAAGAGGGTGATGAGCAAAACAAAAGATAAAAGAGGAAATAACTATGGAATCTAACCAATTCGAACTGGATTTATATACAAAAATAGATTTCCTTTTATTTCGGCAATTCCGATGTTCCTCAATGGAATTGGGAATTTTTAATTTTTAGATACAGAAGAGATTTAGGGATAAGAATTTTTTTTATAAAAAATCTATGTTTATTAAAAAGTTTTTAAGTAACGCAAAAAATTATTGTGTTACTTTAATTTTTCATGAAGGCAACACTTTTATACCCTCAGCCATATGACTGACTACAAAGGGTATATATAATTTGATACGTCCAAAATAGGCCTCATCGAAATAGCTGTTTTAGACCCTACGGCTCTTTGGACCAAATCCGTTTCAGGAAATTTGGAGCATTCAGGGAAAATTTTTTACTTCATAGAAAAAGAAAGGATCGTCTATTTTTGTTCCTACATAGCAATTCCTAATATTTGCATCAGTGCTAAGAAAATATCAGCCCACTCACTTTATACCCTCAGCCATATGGCTATAGAGGATAGATGATATATATTTGATATGGCCACAACGTGCCTCATCGAAATTGCGGTTTTAGACCTTAGGTCTCTCTGGACCAAACTCGGTTTAGGATATTTGGAGTCGATCTTATTTATAGCATTTATTCTGATGCCACGGTCGATTAATACGAGCGGATAGCGACCATCGGCTGTTATGGCGGCCTACATCATCACCATGGCCGGCGTTTGAGTTCTGGTGGCCAATCAAAGGTGCATGTAAACACGATCATTTTGTTTGTTTACAAGCTGCTGGACATAGAATGTTTTCCCATCGGCCAATCGAAGTAACTCTTTAGCTCTTTTTAGTCTTTTTCTCTGTTGCGTTGTAAGTTCTTGCACTTTTTGGCTTTAGCCCGAGCTCATTTTTTAATATTTGCCGAATGGAATATTGCGATATGATTAGCTCACTAGCCAATTTTCGGTCACCGCGACGAGGGTTTCGATAAAGTCGCTTCTTTACTTTTCGAACCATTTTTGCTGATGTTGCTATATTTGACGTCGGGCTATGCTACCAGTATCACGGTAACGAGCGATGGTAGGAGATTGGAGTGCTCTAACGATAGCCACTTGTGGTTTTCCAGCAAAATATAAAGAAATCACACTATCACGCTTGACATCCATCACGAATAAAATTTTTTCTGGAAAATATGGCTTAAAAATGACAGCAGTCTGGATTTGGTTGCAGTGTTTTCATCTCACCCAGTATTTTGCTGTCAGAAATGTTGGATTGTGTGAAGATAGTTTGGAGACTTTTTTCCAATTTTATGGGAGTTTCAATTGATCAAGATTTTTATGGGTAAATTACCAGAAAAAGTCGACACATTAAAATGACAACAATTCATAATGTTCTCGTCATAATTTTTAATTATTCTTTCGTCAGCCAACTCGAGCTGAAGAACGAATGGAAATAGCTAGATCGACTCCAAATTTCCCGAAACGAATTCCGCCCTTAATTCCGGTCCAGTTTGACCGTGTAACTGAGGGTATAAAACTACAGAAGTGTGAAACTATTGGAATTATACACATTGCTTTTATCAGAATCTGCTCTGATAGAAGCACTCCATGGCAGACATAACACGCTTTGGGTATTTACCAAAATTTTATCTAAAATACAGAGGGTTAATGACGTGAATGTTAACCCAGAATATACTTGAATTATGCAAGCGGTTTTCAACAAATACACCGGCATATAACAAATGGAATGATAAACCTAATTTGCCACCTATCCCAAACATCATGGGTGGCTAAATTTGGATCTATAACTCATTAATCGTTGTAGGTATTTGAAATTTCTTTACATCCCAAAACTGAAAACATACATATGTATGCGTACGTGCATATGTTAACGTATCCAAATATAAACATGTGTGAAGAAGAATGCAACAACAACGACAAAGACAGCAACAACAACAAAAACTCTGAAAACTACTAAAAAATTCTCGACCAGACTTTCGAAGGTCAGCAACCAAAAAATGTTTGTATTTTTTCAGAGCGATCGTTGATCGCCATCAACACCACATCGCCCAAAAAAAGCGCCACAAACGTAACAACAACAAAAAACTACAACAAAAGCACTTAATTGAAAATAAAAACTAACAACAACAACAGCGATTTTTTTATAAAAGCTCAGCTTAAAATTAACAAAACCTCTCAATTTAAATTCAATAGAAAGAGGGGAAAAACATGACGGCTAGAAAGACCGCGTTTGGAGAGCGAGGTTGGAGGTAGAAGCAGGGTGGTAGGCCAATACATGTTTGAAATACAATTTGATGAGATTGTGTGTTCACCAGGCATAACGTACAAATATACATATGTAGCCAAGTTCATACACATGTACATATAGCGGGGTAGCGGGGAACGGAGGTGTGACAGCAGTCCGCAATGATGTTGTCATCAAGCTCACAGTAACAAATTTTGTGATTATTTATTATTGTCACTTTTTGTCATTGTTGCTGTTGTTGTTGCCATTGTAAGTTTGTTCCATTCGTTGTTGTTGTCTTCTTATACAACTCAGTTGTCAGTTTAGTTCATTTGTTTGTTGTTTATGACCATTGGAATTCAAAAGAAAAGAAAAAAACGAGGAAAATTGAATGAGAGAACCCGCGAAAGAACGAACGAAGCGTTTTATTTAAAGTATGACACCATCGAAGAAACGACGACAAAATAAAAGAACAGCACAACAACAAATATGATAACAACAATATTTACGTTGTAGTGGTAACAACAAAAATAAAGTGCGTCTATTTTTTTTTTATTTTATTTTTTTGTAATGAATAGATTGCGAGCAGAGAGTGTTTTGCTAAGAAGCCACAGAGGGGAAATGCCACATAAACGGTGGTGCTGGTGGTCTAAGCCAAGAATGCGACTGGAGGCATCTATCTTCAGGGCTTTGTTTACATTAACAATGAAATTATGAATGATTAATGTGTAAATAATAAAATAAATCATGGCATATCTACAAATGTATGTTATGTATGTGAGACAGGTTGTAATGGTAAAATGGAACTCTTCCCGAATGTGGGTTAATCAGGTGTACATTATTTGAAAATTGGGCTTAAATGTTTAGCTTCGTTAAGTTTGGACGAAATCGTACTTAGCACTGTTATTTTCTGATTTTTTAGCAGTTATCCGATATCTGCTCTAATTTTCGAGATATTCATGCAAAAAGCATTCATTTGATTTCTTTTTTTAATTAACAACACTAAGTATCATTCAATGGGGGTGGATTGGAAAATTCTAAAAAAGGTTCCAAAAAAGTTTGGGGCCCTAGGCCAATCTTTTTAGGGTCCATTATATGTAGCCATAACGAAATTCAAAGTACCTTAAATATTTTGGTCTACACTTCACAAAAATTACAATAGATTTTTCCAAGTGGATTCATATTTTTACACCCTCTATCTTGGAAAGGATGGTATATTAAATATGTCATTCCATTTGTAACACATCTAAATATTCGGCATAGACCCCATTAAGTATTTATACAGGGTGATATGAAAAAACTTCAACCAACTTCAGACTGCTGTCATTCATAAGCCACTCGTCCGACAGCTGTTTAAATTATTCCAGTGACTGCTCAATATATTGTTTAGAAGCGTATAAAAGCATTTTGGTGAGAATTTTCCAGAAAAAAAGTTATTCGTGATATAATTCAAGCGTAATAGTGTGATTTCCTTATATTTGGTTGGAAAACCACATGTGGCTATCGTTAGAGCACGCCAGCATTTAATAGTGAATAAATCTTTTGTGTCTCGTACCATCGCTCGTTACCGCGATACTGTAGGTAGCGTATCCCGACTTCAAGGAAGTGAACGAAAGAAAACAGAAACATCAGCAGAAATGGTTCGAACATAAAGAAGCGACTTGATCTAAACCCGCGTCGCAGTGGCCGAAAAATTGCTCGTGAGCTGAACATATCGCAATATTCCATTCGGCAAATATTGAAAAATAAGCTGGGGGTAAAGCCATTGAAATGTCAAAAAGTGCAAGAACTTACACCGCAACAGAAAGAAAATAGACTCAAAAGAGCTAAAGAGTTGCTTCGCTTGGCCGATAGTGGTGAACTGCCGAATTTGGTTTTCTCCGATGAGAAAACATTTAAATAATTGTCTAGCAGTTGGTAAACAAACAAAATAAACGTGTTTACTTGCCAAAGAAGACAACTGAAAATGTGCACATTCGGTTGGCCACCAGAACACATACGCTGGCCATGGTTATTTTTCGCGAATATTATCGCGAAAATATTCTAGAGGGTGTATAACATTTTGACCGCAGACCTTGGGCATTCCAACAGGACTCAGCACCATCGCATTCAGCACGCGCCACCCAAGAATAATTACAAAATGAGGTTCATTTACAGCGCACAATGGCTACCAAAATCTCCGGATACCAATGCGGTATTTGATATTTGTACTTTATAATGGGTTCTACAGTCGGTGACAAAATATTGTTCATATTGGTCAACGATTCCAATACAATTTTTCGGTATTTGATATATAGACCGATATTCGGTATTTCACAAAATACCACAAAATTATGTCCAATTTGGTATTAAGGACTAACAATAGAC